AAAGCTTGGTTGCATAACCAATCACACATGAGCACCATTCTCCTGAGGTGACAGAAGAAGTTGCAAGACTCAAAATAAGAAAAGAGAGAAAAATATACCTTAAAAACTATCGCTACCTCTATCTAACTCTCTCTCTCTCTCTAGTTGGATAGAAATATTTTTTTAAGGTATATTTAAAAAAATAAAAATAAAGGTCCCTGGTTCAAAAATAAAGGTTGAACATTTTTTCTTTTGTCAAATCAATGTACATAATTTATTTAGTTCAGATAACATATAATTTTGAGTTTCTGATGATTAAATCATTACCCTTCATTGTATTAACTCAGTTTTTCAATTTCAATGAAAACTTAAAATTTTTAAGGTAATTAGGTTACTCACTTTAAGTTAAACCAAAAATATTTTACACTCCACTGGGTTCCTCATAGAAACTTCCAGTGAACAGTTCTTAACATTTTAATAATCTGAATAACTTTTTTTTTCGCTATAAAAAAATTATAGCGAAAAAAAAAAAATCTGTTTTTTAATTATTTAATTTAATTATTTTATGGCTGTCACTTGACATGCAGTTTATGGATCAGTTAGATAGATTTAACTTTTGATTAAAATTTGCAGCATATAAATGTGGAAGATTGATTTCAAAGGTGACACTAGGTGAATATGGTAAAATATTAACTAAAATATATCTCCATACTTCGCCAGTTCATTGATTACATTAAGAACTACAAAAAACAACAACAAAAAAACAGTATTAAACACTTTCTGAAATGTTGTTTAAATATGCAAATGAGGCATTATCTAATTAAAAATGCACTGATCTGCATACATTTCTAGAACACAAATCTAAACATTGGACGAAGACAGGTTCAAAATTCTTGTTTCATTTTCTGAGTCAAAGGTTTTAACAGAGGGGATTTTCTCTTTTACATAAATCAGACAATACAGAAAAAAAATCTAAAGGAATAAACTAAATCAGGCGAATTATATGAAAACCTCTGTTAAAACCTTCTCAAAGATAGGAATACAGCTATAAAAGTTTTGTCTGTGTACGTGCTACTGAATTGGAGATTTCTGACAATTTTGAGAAAATGGCCTTTAGATGCTGTCGTTGAAATATACAGACGCAAATAGATAAAGTGCCATAAAAGATACACTTAAAAGAGTATTTTGGATGTTTTCTTTCTACTAGTCTGAAAAAAAAAAACCTCTTAATGAAAAGCCAAAAAGCACAAAATCTCAAAATTGACAGACGAATTAAAGAACACTGTTTTTCTAGGCATTGTCTCGCTTTAAGATTAACAGCTCGAACAACACTGGATTACAAAGTAAAAAAGAGTAACAGAATCCCCATTCTCTTTTCATTCTCTAATTGAGCTTTACTGATCAGACTTAGGTTGGAAAGCGCTGGTCTTTTCCACCCACGCAATGAGGAGGAAAAACCCTACAAGGGTGTTCACCAGTTTGAAAATTTATTTTCATATAAAAAGACACTCTATGAAAACAGTAGAGGACTACTTTGTACAATCTTATGTATAAAAAACTTAAATGGTGCAAGGAGGATTCTCAGTGATAGCCATCTTCTTTAGCCATTGGGATTGTGTGTGCTGGCAAGGGGAGGATCCAAAAGTTTCAAACATGTCAAGCCATGAAGAAAACATCCTGCGGATCAGGAGGTCCAAGGGAGTATATTCATTCTTCAATTCGTCCACACTCAGCTGTTCTCCATTCATTTTCCACGACGATCATCCTCCTCACAAAAATACATCTCATAAATTGTATGTGACTGTAAGGCCATTCTCAAGTTTTTTTTTTCTTCTTTTTTTTTTTTTTTTTTTTCAAGAGTAAAACATAAATCTGTTCAAAACATAGTTAGTTTAGTAGGATTTCGGGATGTAATTCTCCAGCAGGGCTCTGTAAACGTCTATGGAAAACCCAACACTCATATACATACAGAGTGGAATGACAGAATGTTGAAACGGTCAACGTCTGCATCAGACAAAATAGTAACAAAAACAAAACAGGCACTGTAAATGAAGCAGGGGTTGTGTACAGCTGTGTGGTTGCGAAGAGAATAACTCGTACAACTAAAATAGCTGGTTGCAGCCAAAAGCGTCACTAAATGACACCCGAATGCGTTGGTTTGTCAGACCTATCTTTCAAGACAAGGCTGCAAATCGCTTTAGAAAGAGAAATGACATCATTTTCTTTCACCAAAGACTGTCTAAATTCCAAAAAACAAAAAAACAAAAACAAAAATCAGATTTGATTGGCCGGTGCTAACATAACCAAAATCACATACTGCGTAGGGACTACATTTGACATTTTATTAATTTTGTGTCCGTATAAAAGTGCGTTCTTGGGCAGTATGAACGGAATTTGGATGTACTACATGTTTGGATGTTGCTTCACTATACTGCCATTCAGAAATCCTCTCCCATGGTCTCATGGGATAGTGAATTGTCCATCAAATACACTCTTCAGAATCTCATCAGAAGTATAGGCCTTTTCACCTGCTGGTATTCAAATACCATGTATTCAGAGTCAGATATACAGAACTACTCTTTTGCCATACTGTTTTTCACATACTATGTAGTAGGGACGTATTTGATTTAGGACGCAGTACAGTCCAACCACATTTGAACTTTTTACTTTTAACACATAACCTTGAAGCTTTGGCTTCTTTAGGAACTATTTTCAATGGTCGAAAATTATATAAAAAAAACCCAAAAACAAAACAACAACAACTGAGCAATTTTAGTCAGAAACTAATGTTACACAATATTAACTTCTTATATATTTAACAGTTTATTGAACTGTTAAAAGCCAACGCATTCTCATCCCAGGGCATCATATAGGTGACGCTTTTGAAATTGTGTCTAAATCCGACGCACATGACCCTTTCGCGCCAATATAACACACTTCGGTTATGGGTAGGTTTAGGTCTGGGGTAGGGTTAGGGTTAGACCACTAGGAGGCGCCTTCTGGCCCATATACATCTGCGTTTCCAACGCATTCTCATCCTAGGGCGTCATCTAACTGACACTTTTGACTATCTAAATCCGACACACATGCCAACCTTTAGCGTCAGTTAGATGACATGGGTACACTGTAAAAAAAATTATTGTGATTTTAACAGTAAAAAGACTGTAAAAATGCTACAGTGAAAAACTGTTAATTGGTTAACAGAAAGTTTCCTTGCTACATACGGTAAATAACTGTGATATATATAATGGTACATTTAATGTCGTTTTACTGTAAAATACTGTTAAATTTACAGTTTTTGGAAGTGAAACAGAAGAAGTCATTGTATAATTTACAGTGAAAAAATGTTAATTGACTTTCCCACAATTCCCTGCGTGACACTTCACATTTAATGTATTTTAACTGTTTAGTCATAATTTTCTTAGGTTTTTTTTTCTTATCAGTTATGTTCATTAGGGTTTTATGTTACATTTAATATTGTTAAATTAATTCTTATTTCATTTTTAAAATTTCAACATGTTACCATGATGGTGTTTAATGTTTGTGTGAATGAAACTGTGCAGCTTCTATATAGTAGTATGAATTCTCTTGTGGAAGAGCTGATAATGATGAGCTTTGATTGATCATTTGACTCTCATTACTGCTGTGATTGATGGCTGTCGGTGTATTGCAATTGAACAAAACAGATGTTAATACTTCAAAATGTTAGTAAATTAACATTATATCAAATAATACAATACGGTTTATTGCTGTAAAATGAAATATGGTCAAAGTCTGTAAAACCTAAAATGTTGCTACCGTACTTTTAACAGGAAAACTCTGGTAACCACAGCTGCCGGAGTTTTCCCGTAAATTTAACGGATTTTTTTTTTATAGTGTAGGTTTAGGTATGGGGTAGCTTTAGGGTTAAACCACTAGGAGGCGTGTCTCATATTGACGCTAAAGGGTGCCATGTGCGTTGGATGTTGACGCATGGTCAAAAGCGTCAGTTAGATGACGCCTTGGGATGAGAAGGGGCTGGTGTTTCATCTTGACACTAAAGGGTGCCATGTGCGTCGGATGTAGAAGTACTGTCAAAAGCGTCACCTATATGAAAAGCCATATACCAACCACACTACAGTACTGAATATCAGCACAATTGTGATCATCTTTTGCCATCGCTGGCTCATGTGATATTGCTTATCCCAAATGTGAGAGTAATATTCAGCCTTTCTTGACTGCGGTTAGAAGGGAGGCGAAAAACTAGTTTTAATTGCCGTGGTGGTTTGGAGATATTTCATAGGGACGAGGCAGCCCATGTTCCCCATTAGTGCAGATTACTTGCAAAGGTTGAAATGGCATGCTCTAGTCTTGCCATCTGTGCCTATATGATATGCTGACTTCAGGGATCTTTGAGCAGATGAAATTCGCTCCAAGTAAGAAAATGTCAGGACAAATCGTTATTCCCTCAAGATAATTACCACACCTTTTTCTCTCCCTCGTTCGCCCTCTCTTTCTCGCTTTCCGAGTCTCCATGTGGAGTTACATCAGCCAACATAACTAATTAACGGGTTATAAAGAGGAGCGGGTTGGCAAAGATGACCTCTTCAGTCTGCTAAGCATTGGGCCAACTGTCAAACTTCACAGAGTGCAGAAATAAACTTGAATCGATCACTGCTTTTCAACTGATAACATCACAAAGGGCTACTTTTTGCAAGAGCAGAAATGTAGAACAACTCAAAGGTAGAGAAGAAATGTGGAAACTTAGCACCATCGCTGACAGCAGACCTTTGTGTTGGTTCAAAATGGAAACGCTCTCAGTTGGAAGTGTGTCTCTTATTGGATAAGCCCGTTCTGGAACACCAAAGCTTTTTATGACTGGAATGTGGATTCTTTCGGTTGCTTTGTGCAGGATGGATCAAAGATGCGTCCCTGGTGTGAACGAATGTGAATTTGACATTATATCGCACATACTGTATAGCACAATATTTTTTTCAGTCAAGCATTTTGGAAAACCTAAATAAAACATAATCACACAGCGGTATGACAATGTAGATCTACTTCCACCCATAAAATGATACCTGAAGCTTAGACATAGCAAAAAAGAACTCTTTTAGAAAATGGAATAAAAAGAATAATGGACCAAAAAATTACATAGCTAAAATAAGCATATAAGTACAGTAGGCCTGATGCAGAGAAAGAAAAAAAAATGCAGAGGATGGCACATATTAATGAATACTTTCAAAACTTCCTCTCCCCTGGAAAAACAAAGCGAGAAAAAGGGAAAACGGAACTTGAAACATCCAAGGAATGAGAAGACAGAAAGGAGAGAGAGAGAAAAAAAAAACCCTAAGGGGTTATTAAACAGTGTGCGAATCATCAGTACTGATTTTTTTTTTTTTCGTTCCTCTATAAAAAGAAGGGTGCAGAAATATTATTTTTTAAATTCCCAAATCATCAAACAGGTGAAAGAGAATCCTTTCTGGAGTAAAATCAAGACAGGAAACAGTTTGTTAAAAATGTTTTACCATACTCTCCAGGCCCCACTCTTTCATTTAACGTCTCTGTGTGAAAATATAGAATAGAGCACTCTTCATCTCTGGTCTGTCCTCACAAGTACCAAATCCTTTAGAAGAAGTCTTGCTGAAGAGTACATACGAGGGTTTAGTTGTCTCTCAGTTTGTTGTAGGTGTGCGTTCTCTTCACACTTCAGTCTGGAAGTCTCCTTCGGATGTGTCAGGTGTGTTGACTGGGGATGTGTCCCATGGTTTACTGCGTAACTCCAGTCTGTCCTTATGTTCGTTGGAGCCACACATCTGCTCAGGGATCATGGTCTTAAAGCTGTCCCAAGATCGCTGGTCATCTGTGGTGGACTTGTCCTGAATATGCACATACAAAAGGAAAGAGAAAAAAAAAATGAATTAAAACCTGAGCATGAAAGTTGCTCACCTTCTTTAACCTCAAACACTCTCAAAGTATCATGGTAATCGTAGTTATTAAAGATGCATATATTTCCAGGAACCCATTGTGTAAAATATACAGTACATGGTTGTAATTCGATTATATATATATTTGAGAAATGCATTTTATTATTACAGTGGTGGCTAACCCAAAGTTATACAGTATACACACTAAAAGCTTGGGGATGGTATCATATTTTTATTCAGCAAAGTGAGAGTAAAGGCATTTATAAAGTTACAAAGGATTTTTATTGCAAATAAATGCTGTTCTTTTGAGCTTTCTATTTATTGATATTTATTTTCTTAGACAAAAAAAAAATAGTGTCGGCCCAGATCCGGCCCACATCTGGCATCTGGATTCCACAAGTTCCAGATGTGGGCCGAATCTGGGACGCACTAAGCAGCACAACTATTTCCAACATTGGTAATAACCATCCCATTCTCATCCCAAGGCGTCACATACTGACGCTTTTGCCAATGCGTGCACTGTAAAAAAAAATATATATATATATTGTTGGTTTAACTTAAAAAATTAAGTAACCTGGTTGCCTTAATATTTTAAGTTGATTGAAATGGAAAAAAGTGAGTTAATACAATTAAGGAGATTGATTTGATCATCAGAAACTCAAAATAATAAGTTATCTGAACTAAATAAATTATTTAAGTTGATTTGACAAAAGAAAAAAAATGTTGTGATAACAAATCTTGAAAATATATTTTTTTGACATCGAATGTACATGGCACCCTTTAGTGTCAATATGAGACACAGATATATATGGGCCAGAAGGCGCCTCCTAGTGGTCTAACCCCAACACTACCCCAGACCTAAACCCACTCATAACCGAAGTGTGTTATATTAACGCTAAAGGGTGCCATAAGTGTTGTGCAAGTTACTTCCAAACTGCAATACATTAGGTATTACTTGTTACTGTTATTTAAAAGTAATTCATTACCTTACAATATTACTGTCCCAGAATTGTAATGCGTTACATTACTCATGTATTACTTTTGAGTTACTTTCACCAAAATAACTAAGTAGAACTTAACTTTTGGACTGTAACGATATGCAATATGAAACCGAAATCGCGATTCGCCAAACGACTCAGATCCACGAACCTACAGAATCGCGACACACCTCTACCAACTCCAGCGTTATTCTCCTTACCGTCCATATCCAATGCTGCCTTATCTTTAAATTAGGCTATTAGTATTATTTGAAGTTAACATTATAAAATACGTGGACCTACACCACAAAACTAGTTGAGGATAAATTATTTAAAATTGGGGAAGTCCAGCATTATGGACATGATGACATTTGCAGTCAAAACTTGAAATTCAAATTCTCAGAAAATACATGTATTGAAAATAGGCTACTTCCTTAAAGGACTCCAGACATTAGACAAATATCAGTCTATGTTTTATTTTTAATATTAGGGAAAAGACACACATTCATGCGTGACAAAAAAATAGGAGGCAAAATATATTTTTTGTAATTCTGTGAATTGCACTGCGCAAATCGGATGAGGAAGGGTTGGCTCTCCAGTCTCCATAGAACTTAAAATATTCATTTTATTTTAGTTTTCGTGTTCGCATTTATGAGGAAAAAACAATGTTACAGACGTGACCGCTCTGAACTGGCACTAAAAGACTGCTTTAAAACTTTCACATAGTCTGTTGCCGAAGTAAAAGCAGACAATACACTGTAATACAACTGTAATACAAGCCTCACTGAACATGTAACGAGTATATTACTGAAAATTGATTAGTAATGCCTTACACTACTGCGTTACAGCAAAAAGTAATATGTTACTGTAATGTATTACTTTTGTAATGCGTTACTCCCAACACTGGTTATGCATTGTCAAAAGATGAGAATAATAACAATAGATGTTTCTTGAGCAGCAAATCAGCACTTTATAATGATTTCAGGATCATGTGACACTAAAGACTGCATACTGATGCTGAAAATTCAGCTTTGCAACACATGAATAATTTTCATTTGGGAAAAAAAAAAATATATATATATATATATATACATATATTAATTTGCAATAATGTTTGACAACATTACAGTTTTTAGGGTATTTTGATCAAATAAAACGAACATAAATCAAATGTTTATTTATAATTAGTTTTTTTTTTTTTTTTTAAATCTATATATACACATTGGCCACCACTGTAACAACAACACACTTATAATAATTGTCAGGAATCAGATCCCATTTTTAATTTTACAGTGCTATAACAATATCACTCATAACTATGATATTCAGGAAGAAACTCATGGTAATTTTTAGACCTGCCAGGAGCATCACAAAGCTGAAAAAAAAAACATTTTATCTAGTGTGGGCCGTAACTAATGGAAATGTGCTCAGGCATTTGTAATTCGCATTTAATGCGCCTGAATGCACGTTACAACAGAAGCATAAAGACTAAATGCCGTTATAGACTTGGTACATTACAACTTGTCTATACAACATGGAGCAACTTGGCATTAGTGGTGGCCTATTCCAGGTGTTCATTGCTTTAGATGACTAGAACACATACTCTGCATCCCATGGACACTTATGATGTATTCTACAATTATATGGCCTCTTAATGCTAGCTAAATTGCATTATACAGTGGGAGCAGATTAATCTAATCATACAAAGAGTGAGGAAGTATGAGGTTAGGATTGTAAGAATAAAAAAAGAGAGAGAGAGACAGCCAGAGCCAGGCCATTCGAAGGAAAATCTGTTGAGACCTGACAAATTCATCTCGCCATTTCCCCTCCTCTTGAATCCATTCCCAACTTCCCCTGAAAATGAGATGTATGAACCTGCATATCTCGAGCCGTTTGAGGCGATCAATTACAGGGTTGCTGTCGGCTCCCCCTCAGCTCAAACGCCCGCTGATTGCGCGTGTGACGGGTTGGGAAGATTGGAAAACACCACGTAAATGACTCGTCTGTGGTATGACTGAGAATAAGTTTCTCTGCCTCCCTCTTGTTCATCAGTATTTGTGAAGGATGGAGGCTTGTAAACTCCTCGGGGATATGAAAATATGAGCACTCAAACACTAAACTCACACGTGCACATTATAACAATATTTCCAAGCAGAGTAAACCAAATGTCTTCTCTTTTGGCTCTCATTCGCAACCTCTGGTTTAGTTTGTCGGCTCGTGTAAGCATCCACAAGGGGGCGATAGCAGCCTGATTATAATTCACCCCATGTAACAGGCTGACAGTAGGCAAAATGGATACAAAAAGCGTAATCTGGCAGCCAATTTGCATGCTAAACGCTGAAGAAGGAACATTTTGTCGAGCAGAAGTGTTGTTAATGCTGAAGAGGAGCCCGACTTTATTCCTAAGAGAATGCTAACGCGATTGTGCTGCTCTAGCGTATTTCCTTTCCCCTCCATCTCTCTTCCTCTCGATCGCTCGGCTCGCAAAAACCTTCCTTCACTTCCTCTCGCTTTCTCCATCTCTCCTCATCAGGATTTTCTACTTACACTCGAAGAATTCTTTTCACCTCCGGCAGACGAAATGCTCCATCGCTTTTCCCTCTGTTGCAATAAAAATGAGGATGGGAGGAGAGAAATAAAAAGGAAGAGAGACAGAGAGGGAGAGAAAGACAGGCAGAGGAAACAGAGTGAGAGAGAAAGAGAGAGAAAAGGAGGGAGGATCACAGTCACAAAACATGTCTGAGGGGAAGTGATGTTTGTTTGAATTTTTGTTATCTTGATGGAGGAGTCTGTCAATAGACTCAGTCTTGGAGGCTTGCGCGCTCCATCCCCCATATTTCTTTTTCACAAAGACAGAGACGACTTTAACGTCTACAGCACTATGCTCAGGATATGACAAGAGAGGTGGCTGCTAACTTCACCATGTCTGTATTGAAACACTGCAGTAGAGGAAGAGGAAGCGTAGCACTAGATGCTAAAGGGAAGGAGATTCTGTGAAGATTTGAAGGCAAAAATGAAATGGAGATTCAATTCCTGTCGTTTAACTTTTAAAACCGGGCTCAGACTAGGAGTTTTTAAATCTTAACCAATTGTCAAATCTGGTTGCATCACGCACATAAGGGGAATCTTCACAGATTTTCTTCTTTTAAAGGTGCCATATGGGATAATTGAGGTAAAAACATCCAAAAAATGAGTTACACATATCAAAAGAATGAGAAGAAATAAGTGCAATGATGTCATTAAAAAACTGATAAGTTATAGTGCTGCCGAGATATACACCTAAATTAGCGTGCTAAATTATTAGCCCCGGCCTGGCAGGTGTCGTAATACCAGTTTCGGCCATGGGAGGCGGTATGCGGGCGGACAACGTTACCACCAGCCAAACTGCAATAGACGAGTAACTCGCGCGGCTTGTGTGTACTTGAACCTGATGTCAGTCATGTGGAAATACAGCCCACTACTAAATTTCAGTTCAGGAAAGAGTTAAAAAAAATGATTGGTCGATATTATGCATGAGGAATACATTTTGGTAAGTTGTAAAATATCTTTCAACAGTGTTCTTGTTCTTTTACCATTAGCTAGTAGAGATGATCAGTTCACGTGCGCTAGGGATCTGTCGTCTAACATTTGCAAGCGCCAAAACTGCATTTATTGTTTGAATTGCGTAATAAAATTAACAGAATCTGAGAGCTGAGATCGGTCTCTGTGTCTTTTTCTGTGCATGACAAAATGGATGCGTGGCGTGAGAGTGTGTGAAAAGTGTTGTGAGAGTTGGCAGCTCTGAAAGACGCTAGCTTGGTCCACATCAGGGAATGCTGTCTGTCAAATTAATTAAAACTAATGATAAAAATGTTACATGAACAAAACGAATACCATAAACTAGAAATGCCTGGGCTTTAATTTTCCCATATCGTCGAAATGCACCGGCTTGTCTATGAGACGGCCTTTATAATTTAGTATTGAGATGTTGTTCATTTAGTCTCTAATCTCTGAAAATCTCCAAATGATCCACGTGAAACTGCGGTCTTCCAACCTTTTACTATCGTGTCAATTGATTTGATTAATATGCGCGAGACAGAGCAACACAGCGCTCGCCCGTGTTGTTTGAAGACATGATTGAGTGCGCGCGGCCACAGAGGTATTTTTCTGGAGGTATACTGCCCCATTTGGTATGGAATATGGCGTAAGATTTGATTTTTTATCCCAGACGGCATCTTTAAATCTCAAACCTGCACATATTACAAGATTTTAAATTCTTGGGGCATCACATACAACAAGATATTCTTAAATGGGTCTTATTGTGCCCTTTCAAAAAGTCTTGATTTTGTTTATGGGGTCTACTAGAATATGTTTTCAAGCTTGATTGTTAAAAAAAAATCATTATTTTACACTATTACAGCATCTTTCTATCCAGTCTGGCTCAAACACGCCAATTTAGATGAAGCCCCTCCTTCCGAAATAAGAAGTGTGCTGTGATGGTTAGCTGGCCCAGTGTGTTGTGAATGGCAACGTTTAGCTTGCATTGTACTTGCGTTCTTGATTGGAATTGAATGTCGACACAAATGACCCTTAATACATCTAAAAAAAAACATAGTAGAATTTATAAAAAAATTGGTTTAATAATTCTAAAATATATTTTTTCCTGCCATAATTATTCAACACATTCTCATCCCAAGGCATCATATACTGACGCTTTTGCCAATGCATTTAAATCCAACGCACATGGCACACTATAGTGTCAATATAACACGCTTCGGTTATGGGTGGGTTTAGGTCTGGGGTAGGGTTAGGGTTAGACCACTAGGAGGCGCCTTCTGGTCCATAAATATATGCATCTCATATTGTCGCTAAAGGGTGCCATGTTCGTTGGATGTATACACATTGGCAAAAGCATCAGTATATGACACCTTGGGATGAGAACGGGCTAAATTATTAATAACCGCCATTTTACAGAAATATAGTTTACAGAATGACGTTAAAGTATTAAAATATTGATAATTCTAGCTTTGCGGTCTTAGTTTTTATTACAATACATCTCATTTGGTCACATACGGTCTAGCTGCAGAAGTTCAGATATTTCAATGCATCCATAGATCAAATCAGATCCGAAATTTCCACACACGCATATGGTCTGTATGCAGATCCCGTACTACTCTCGATTGGAAATGAATGACTTCCGGTCTGACGGCTGTCGTTTGTCGTGTGCGGTGAAAGGTGGCTTTAATAGAAAGATCACTACACTACATTTACATTACAAATTGTTTACCAAGTCCAACTTTACGTAAGAGTTTATATAATTTAAAAATGGATTTCACTCTCGAACTCTCTTTCTGTCTCCTGAAAGTGGTCATGGTGTCAAAAAAAAAAACACATCAGCAAAAACACATATAGCACGTGGTTGCATCCAAAATCGCATATATCCCTGAATTTACATTACTCGAAAAACAATAGGCAAAAAAATTACCCAGATCACCTACTTCTTCCGGGGAGTGTGCATACGATGGTCACTTTACTACACCACGAGGCCATCAGAGAGTATTTGTGAACGGCAGTGACATTGGTAGGTCACGTGATAAAGGCAACATGGCGGATGTAGTACATCCAGATTACATTCATATTACACACATTCATAAAATATAGAACATACTCTTTTAACGGTCACAAAGTAATTACTTTTTCAAAATAAGTATACGATTTCGGATGCAGCCAGTGTATCTGAACTACCCTAGAGTGCTGATGAAGCATATGAAAATGAAAGTAGCTTATTATTCGAATCACTCCTTTCCAGCATAACATTCAGTCATAATTCCATCTAGCGTCTTTCATTCTTTATACCCAAGACAGATTAATGTTTCTACAGAGTTTACAACTGTATCTCTCCTCCACACAAACACACCCTTTTGGATTCAAGGACTAATAGGTGCGTGCAGAAAGCAAAGAGAGGCACATCAACACAGCAGTGACCACAACCTACAGTATGTGTCCGGCACACAAATGAGAAAGCACAGGTCAGAGAAGAAGGCTGTTGCACACTGAAGCAAAGGAAATATGTGAAAGGAGCAGTGTCTACAGCAGCAGGGCAGCGGGGGAAAGCAAGTTTAGTCGCTGTGGGAGTTCTGTACTGGTCTAGAAGTTTCTATGGAGACTATAGGTTGGAAAGGACAAAAAGAAACACTCTCTATGAGTGCTGTGGCACAGACACAATGCTCTCTGGATGAGATTTTTTCGTTACCTGTTCTCTGTTTGTCGCCTTTGGGTCTGGTGACTGCCTGGCTACAGTCAAACTATGACAGAAAACATGTAGTTTCAAACCAAGGAAAGACAGGCAGCAGTGCATCATGACCGAAAAACAAACAAATGCAAAACAATGCAGCAGCATTAACAAAATCGTAAGCAAAAGGTCAAAATTCAGAAAAAAAAAGCATTTAAAAATCACACTAAAAAAGCTGGGTTGTTTCAACCCATGTTTGGGTCAAAAATGGACAAAATATATTTCCCCGCCAGTGGTTTTTTGGTAATTCAAAAAGGCGCATTTTGGCCCACAGAATAGAGTATGTTGTTGTATGAATATCTAAACATGCAATATATCCAAAAAAGAAAGAAAAAAAGTTTTATTCTAGCTCAATGCATTATTTTTCCATAAATAAATCAACATTCTGAGCAAAAAGTTGAGAAAATCATGTTTTTGTCAAAGTCTATGTCTGTGTCTTGGGTTGACTTCCTAGAGCGACTTCCTGGGTCGATATTTTACTCAGTAACATTAAGTTACGCGCATTGTTCGCCAGCTTTTTTCAATGCGTTTTTTGTTTTCACACCCAATCGATTTTCGCTGACGATGAGCCGAGTGAATATGCCAATTCATTCCCAGACATTAGATGGCGCTTAATGCAAAACAGGAGTAGTCCTATTTTGATGTCGCAGTCACGTTTGTCATATAGTTCTTTATGTTCCGACACCAACGAGATCAGCAGCTCTACATTCATCTTGCCTTGTATCTTCCTCTTCCTATTTCTTCCCGACAGTGTAACACAGTCTCATCCCAAGTCGTCATATAACTGACGTCTTGGGACATCTTTTGACCATACGTCAACATCCACCTATTTAGAGTACCCTTAAACGTCGGTTAGTTGACGATTCCGGGCCGTCATAAAACTGACGCTTTACCTTTAACGTCAGTTAGGTGACGGGGTAGGTTTAAGTCTGGGGTAGGGTTAGGATCCGATAACGTCATCTAACCGACGTTTAAGGGTACCCTAAAAAGGCGGATGTTGACGTATGGTCAAAAGACGTCCCAAGACGTCAGTTATATGACGTCTTGGGATGAGACTGCGCTGGACAGTGTAGAAGCTACTTGGCGTACATCTTCTTCGCCGTTACAATGTGTGCTCGGCAAGACCGTTTTGTGTTTGTGCGCTCCCAAGTTGTGTTTTACTGTCCCTTCAGAAGCTCCAGACACGTGAGCAAAAGCTCCAATCTCATTGGTCGGATAGTTTTCAAACCACATAAAACGAACCTGAGGCATTTTTTAAAAAAAGTACGCTTGATGATCACATTATTTTTCAAATGCATCTGCTTACATGAGATCACTCGTTTCTGCTTCT